GGGGTGGGTGACTGCGGGCGGGGTGTCCCCCCTGCTTCAGGGCCGCGTGTCCCCGGCTCCTCAGCCCCAGCGGCCGGCGGGGCGTGCCCGGTGTGGGAACACCCCTGGGCTCCCGCCCCTGCCGCGGGCTCACTCCTTTAGCCATGTATCTCCTGAACGCGTTTTTCTGCGTCGCGCTTCCGATGGCACAACAAATCACTGTCCACCCGCTGCGGTTATTAGTCTTAAAATGAATTTCAGTGTTATACGATGTCCAGTGACCTCTCTTCTCTTTGTCAGCCCGAGGAGGAGCTGGTTAGCCAGCTGGCCCAGCGATAAATGCAGTGTCCTTCCATCAGATCAGCATGCCCAGCCGAAGTGCCTTTGTGGCTCCTGCATCCGCAGGGGGGTGTGGCTCCTGCATCGGCAGGAGGCAGCAAGGTGTTTCCCTGCAGAGGCAGTGTTGCTAGGTCATTGCTCCTGCGTTTTGTACACAGGTGACCTTTGCAGCTGGAGGCTGAAGGATCCTGTCCACCTGTATGCCAGATGCTTTTTTGGTCTGTGTGTTCCTGTATGCTTTAGTTGGACTTTGATTTCCACCCTCTTTCCCCCACCTCCATTTCATGTTTTTATTTTGTTGCCGATGTTATGTCTGGGGAAGGAAAAGCACATGTAAGAGCAGGGCCTGTTACTGTGGGGACTTCAGAAGTTGACAAATCACATCTTTGTGGTTGAACAAAAAAATGCTTAGGTGTCACTGTGTATTTAGGCAACTGAAGAGTTCCTGAGCAGACAGAATGACACAGCAAATCATGATCAGCCCTGTCTGAAGACCTTGGAATATCGTTACAGGAGTGCTGCCAGATTAAACACATTTTTCAAACTTTGTTTGTAGCAGGGAACTTCTAAGATTACCCCTTTATCTTACCCCTGTTATCCTGTTTCTCCTAACGCACAGGTTGATTTTTGATTAGAGGAGCTCCCTGAACTTTATGGCCCCATGTTCCTTCAAGCACTCATCTTGATGCAGTGGGTGGAGTGGTGGGAATGGCTGTCTTGTCCCTTTTTATTCCACTTGTCCAGCATGAGCTGCCTGGGAACCAAGTTGTACTAGAAATCCTAACCAAGACTTAACTCAATAGGTTGAATATAAACTAATCTTTAAATATGGACTTCAGGGCCCTCTTAAGTGTGAAGTACTATGAGGTGCTTGTGACTCTTGAAAGGTATTTCTATACCTTAGGGAGCTTGCTGTAGGCTTTAGTTACTTAATTTCAATATTGGTTTAAATGCCTGTACCCCAGAAGTAGCTTAGTGCCCCAACATACTTGTATCATGCGGACCTTATTTGTTGCTGTAAGAGAAATACACGTCGTTGAGCCAAGAATACATTTGCTTATGGGGGAAAAAATATCAAAGGGCCAGAGGGAAAAATATTATCTTCGCTGGTTTGGTACTAAAGCCCTGACTAGACAGTAGTAAAGGTCCATGCAACATCAGCAGTGATCAGTTTTAGTCAGGTCTTTCCTATTGGGTCTGATAGGGTATTGGAGGCAAAGTCTAGATTGGGTTCCATTTTCAGAATGTGCCAAATTTATTTAATCTACTGCAGGCTGGCTGCAGGAGAGTGCAAAATTTTTATTTCTTCCATTAAAAAAATAATGTAATTCTGCTTTCTGGTGGCTTTTTCAGGTGCATATATTCCATATAACAGGAGGAATGTGCAGTGCAGTTTTATGAGGAAAGACTGTGTATAGTTATCAATTACTCATACTGCTTTGCATTTCTGTTATCTCTTAATCTCTAAACCCTCTAGGAGACGTTCGTTCTGAGCAGCAGTATCAGCAGCAGAAATTTTCGAATCAGTCATCTGGGCCTTCATACAGGAAAGACCAGTATTTTCCAAAAGGACAAAATAGAGGAGAGAGGGGCAGAGGGAGAGGAGGATGGCAGGGAGGAGGCCAGAGTGTTTCTGAGGAAATGCCAAAATACATAACAGGTTTGTATATAAGAAAAAGGTAATAATTTGTATGTCCAGAGCAACTTGCTGGTGATTGAGTCTGCTGTCTGTCTCTGCTTTTGTGCAAGAGTGAAAATTCAAACTGATGATATGTTCTTCTGGTTTTCCTAATTTCTGCCAAATACAGAGGTGGTTCTGTCCTGGAATGAATGACCAGCTGTTGTTCAATGAGTCCTTTCAGACTTAGGAGTTGAAAAGTTGCACTGACTTATAAAAAGGGATATGCATTTTGTCTTCTATTTGCCAGCAAAATGGGTACTGACAGTCATCTAATCTTAATGTAGCCAGTAAAATTGGTTTTGCCCATGATGTGGGTTAAAGACAACTTTTCATCTAACAGAACGTTTATTAAGGACAGCAGATTAGCTTTTCAAAATGTGGCAGAGCTCTGGTAGTAGATATACATCCATGAACATAAAACAAGACCAACCTGTGGATTTTTTATTTGATCATTTTAAAACAGTCTGTAATCCAATTATTGCTTCCTTTTTTTTTTCCCTATGCTGACGTGTTTTTCATTTCTCTGAATATCATCTGAAAAGATTGCTACTCTAGTTTGCTAAGTACTTAATGCAAATAGGACTTGCTTGGTTATACCACGGCTTTCAGATTCATTCATGTGTAAGTATTTGTTTAACTGCATCTGCAAGCTTCATAGTATCTAAAGAATTGAAATTTCTTCAGTAATAGTATACAATATTTGCTTTTATCTCCAGAAGTCATTAGGCTGATGTACTAGGAATACTCTGCTGGAATTCAGGAATTTTCCTAGTGTCCCCTTTGATTTTTGCCGTTGCTCTGATGCCGTTCTCTTCATTCCAGCGTCTACCTTTGCTCAAGCTCGTGCTGCTGAGATCCGTGCCATGCTGAAAGCAGTTGGACAGAAGTCTTCGAACTCTCTGGTTTTCCAGACGCTCCCTAGGCACATGCGGAGGCGAGCGATGAGTCACAATATTAAACGCCTACCCAGGCGGCTCCAAGAGATTGCCAAGAAAGAGGTATAAGTGCGTTTTGTGGTATCTGATAGACTATACGGTGGGCATAGGTAATGCACAGTATTCAGCTTTTCCATTTTGGTGGTAGATGTCACTAACTGCTTGGCTTTGTGATTTTTGGACAAAATGAAAAATTGATGATGAAAGGGTCCACTGCAGGAGGGGTTGTTCAGGCAGTGCATTGATCCCTGGTGATCCAAGGAGTCCTCGATAACACTTGCCTGCTTTGCACCCCACCCCAGCTGTCGGCTGTGACCCTGCCGGACTCAAGCCAGCGTAAGCGTGTTCATGTGTTACAGCTCAAACGTGGGAGCTGTGCTGGAGATGCTCGCAGGCTGCACGCAGCTTAAGACTTACTGATTGGCTATTCCTGGTTGCTGATGAAACTCCCTCATTTTATGGCAGTATCTCAACAGTTAGTCAGAACAGTCCTGTGGAGTTACTTGGTCCTTACCCACTGTGACCTTCCTGTGTGGGATTTTCTTTTTTTTTTAATTAGTTCAGCAGTGTTTTCTAGTGGAATGATCTGTCTGATGTTTGGCATTGATCACTTCATAGGCTGTAAACACTTCTTAAAGGAGTCAAGTCCTTGGGAAGTTTTCTGTGTATTAAAGATGACCTATTGACATGTTTCTTGCATTCTTCTTTCTTTCCCTTGCATTGTCTTTAAATTCTTTGAGACCTTACCCCCTCCACCTTGAGTTCCTGAAGATAATTGTTCATGATTCAGAAATTGCTTTGGGTGCTTCCACACATGTTCCTTAGGGTGTGTCTTATTGGAGTTTCATAACCTGTATCTCTTCTTTTGCTGGTCTGCTTGGCTTTCTTTTTGCTTTGTTAGTCATGACAAGAGGTGAAATTTGGCCTGTTTTCCAAGAACTGAAGGAGGAAGGCATAGGCTATTTTGCATAGTGAGTTCTGCACTCTATCCTTGTTAAATAATCTAAATTTTTAATGCTTGTGCTTGGTTCTTTTGTGTTCTGCCTTTTTAACTCCTTTTACATGATACCCTTTCTAACCTCACGCTTACTCTCCCATCGTTGCTTCCACTCCCAGTATGACACTTGGATTTTTGAGATTATTTAATTGACCCTGGTGCAGCTATGTATCTTCTGCTGTCTTCTGTCCTCAAGTCTTTAAGTGTAGCTTGTGTGCGTGCACAGGATGGTTTTTTTTCATCTTTTTCTTATAAAATGTTGTATCTCCTGAACTATTCCTTTTATAAGGGTTCTACCTGTTACTTTTCAGTGTTTGAATTCGTCTTCTTCCAAGTTCTGATTTTGCTGCACTTTCTTCTTTATTCTTAGATCCTTTATCATGACCATTTTCATGGTTTCTCAACATTTACTTGATCCATCTCTTACCTCTTCAAAAGCTTAAAGACAGAGGTTTTTAATCTATGATACTAAATCCCTTTTTTTCTTACTGTCTTTCTGAACCAGTCAGTCATATGCCATTGATCCAGTAGCTTATGTTGCCTGCTCTGTGGTGGAATGATGGGTCTCATGGGAACATATTTTATTTTTGTGTGCATTTCTGTTTTGATGTCATGGGTTGTTTGAGTGTTTTCTGTGCTCTTGGCAGTGTTCTTCCTTTGCTGTTCTTATAACCAGTGGTCTGTTCTCAACTGTTCTTGGTGAGCTTACAGAGGACATACCAAGATTTATTTTCGTAGAATCACAGAATGGTTTGGGTTGGAAGGGACCTTAAAGATCATCTAGTTCCAACCCCCCTGCCATGGGCAGGGACACCTTCCACTAGACCAGGTTGCTCAAAGCCTCGTCCAGCCTGGCCTTGAACACTTCCAGGGATGGGGCATCTACAGCTTCTCTGGGCAACCTGTTTCAGTGCCTCACCACCCTCTCTGGGAAGAAGTTCTTCCTGATATCTAATCTAAACCTCCCTGCTTTCAATTTAAACCCATTACCCCTTGTCCTGTCATTACAGGCTCTTGTAAAAAGTCCCTCCCAGCTTCCTTGTAGCCCCTTCAGGTACTGGAAGGGGCTTTTTGTGTGTCTTACAGTCCCTAAGACTTCCTGCCACTTCTCGTCACAACAGAGAAATCCAACATTGATTGAGACAGTCAAGCCTTCCTCTCCAGCCTGCATTCACCAATAATAATTCAGACCTTGATTGGGTATTTATCAAGAATTTGGTCAAGACATCACCACAGTCCTTTCTTGTTCGCTTCTACGCACTGTAGAATCCTTAGGGTCCTACCTGGCAGTCTGAGAATCCGTACTGCTTCTGTACGAGCTCAAATCTCCAGGTGTTCCTAGTGTCACGTTCATTTGTTCATGTAGCTATATTAACGCTGGGCAAAAACTTCACACAGGAAGTAGCAGATCTTACTGTTCACTGGGACGTTTGTGAATGTGCTGGGGTCTTGGTTTTCCTATGGGTTCCAGTCAAACCTTGATGCACTCATGTGTAAAGTTTCAAAGTGTTAGTTAGCCTCACGAATTACAGAGAACTAACATTGGAATGAAGTATAACTTCAGGCTAATGCTTCCTGTGCCCTTACCTATGTCAGCCTTTTTCTTCTACAGAAGTTGGTCCTTTTGAGATTTACTTCAATATCCTCTCTTTGACAAACAGGCAGAGAAAGCTGTACATCAGAAAAAAGAACAGTCAAAGACCAAATGCCGCAAAGCTAGAAGGCGCCACATAAATTTGGTAGCAGAGTTTAATCGCAGGCAAAGAAAGAATATTTGGCTGGAAACTCATATTTGGCATGCAAAGAGATTTCATATGGTGAAGAAATGGGGATACTGTTTAGGAGATAGCCCTACGGAGAAGAGCTACAGGGCTTGTTACCGAGCCATGACAAAACACTGCCTTCTTCAGGTACCACATTTAGATCTTTTTTAATTTTGTTTTCTTTGTTATTTTGCCAAGGTGAAGTAATCAACTGTTCAGTTATAATGAGTATTTCTGTCTCTTTGATTTAATGTTGTGTCAGCTGTTAATAAGTGCTAAGCATGAAATGAGTGATTTTGTAATTGTAATGAAGGGTGTCAAGTGTTAGAGAGAACAGGATGAACCTTTAGAATACGACTGAAGTACTGCATCTTCAGTCTTCTCAAGAGCCAAGAGATTCAGTGAATCCCTGCGTCATCTTCCTGAGCAGAACGCTGTTGAAGAGAAGTGCCTTGTTCCACGTCCCTTTTTGTCTGTTGGTTTGAGAGGCAGGTTGGCTCTCAAATCAGAAATACCTGACAGCTCTCCTATAACTAACAATTTTAAGATAAAAAACCATCAATTCTCTTTGACAGAAATTATAGGGAATGATGAATTATTACTTCAGTGTAAATTGAAGCTCTCTGTCTGGTCCTTCCTTGCCAGGCTCCCTTTCAAGACTTATTCCCACTTTACCACTATCCTGTTGTTTCAGGACTTATCATATTATTGCTGCCTGGAGTTGACTGGTAAAGAGAATGAGCTTCTGAAGCAACTTGTTCGAATATGTAGCGTTGACGCAGGTAAATCTTCTGTAGTTGAAGTTAATATTCTGAATGGACTAAAGGATGAGCCATCCTTCTCCATTTTTAATGCTCTGCCAATCTCAGTAGTAGTAACAGAGTTGATACTGAGTTGTGATTTTTGTTGAAAAACATAATTAAAATGTCTCTGAACAGGAATAGACATTCTTCTTTTCAGTTGCTTATTAATAAACTAATTATGGTACATATTCTTTCTTAGTTACTGTCCCAGCAGCCAGACTGAACTTAAATTTTCTTCTTTTTTTAAACAAGAGATTGTTTTGTTTTGCACTAAGTATCATCATCTTTAGGATTAACATTTGAAGAGGCCTGTTGTCTGTCTGGAAGATTCGAGGGTTCCCTGAATCTTTACCGAGCAGATCGCTATCCTGAGGATATGCTTGGTCCTGTTACATTTATTTGGAAACCCAGGGATGGATCTGAAAACAGACAGTTATGGATCTGGATGCATCCAGCTCTCAAACAGGTATTTTTATTTTACAGTTGAACTCTGATTTCTTTATGCATTGTACATTTTTAATGCTGAAGATGCCTTCTGAAAGGTGTAGAAGAGCTGGATATCACACATGCTTTAGGAATTAAAAGTTGGAAGACTGTTTCCACTCTAGCAATATTTATGTTCTGCAGCTTGTTTTTTCTAAAGCTTGTACAGAAGGTACAAACTCTGAGGTTTGGCTTTTTTTTTGTAGTGATTGAACTTGTTAGAAGTTTTCAAGTGTCACTTGCTTCAGGATACATTTGTGATAACAATGTTGCTTGATTAACATCCTTCCCACTGGCAGGCCCAATAGGCTGTTTAGTCTCCTCACAGATAATCTGATACTTAGCTATGAACTTCAGTAAAATTCTGTGCACCAGCAATTTTTTTTCCATTAATTTGAGTGAGAATAAATTCTTAGCAACGTTCAGTATTACTTTCAGCTCTTGATAGTAAGCCCTGGACTTTGGCAGAATGTTTATTCCCTTAAATCTATATAGGAAAATAAAATAGTAGAGAGTTATTCTTAAAACTGTAGTTAAGATTTGCAATGCACTGCTTATCCTAATCCAAACTTTTCATTTTTCTTAAGGAGATATTGAGAGAGTTGAAAACAATTTTTCAGTGTTCAGAGCCTGAGGAGGTCTATATTCCTGAGCCAGTTACAACGTCAGTTCAAGAGGAAGAACAAATGGATGTTGGTCTAAATCTTGGCAAGAAAAGAAAGAAAGAGGATAAAGAAGGAGAAAAAGCTGTGCCAGTGAAAAAAATACTTGGTGATGGCACTAGAGATCCATTCCAGTCCTACTCTTGGATCTCGCAGACTACTGGCATTGCGATCAGGTTGGTTTGTAGTAGAGCCAGAAGCTATGATCCTTAACTGCTTAATATAGCTGAATTCTGGCTTAACAGTACTGGGGGGAAACTTATGTGTTGTACGATTGTACGGTCACCTGAAGTTTTCTTGTTTCAGTGATAGAACTATGGAGATTCTCAGGTATCGGCTGATTGGCCCATTATCACACTCCGTCCTTACAGAGACTTTGAAAGCTGCTTCTCTCCAAACAGTAAGGAAATTGGCAGTTTAGATATTACTGTAATTTTGATAAGACTTCTAGAATGCACAAGCTTGGTTTTGCTGGAAAGAATTGTGAAGTATCTAGCCTTATGTATTATAAAGGGTAACCCATGTATTTCTTCTCTGTTAGCTTCTCTATATTGAGCCACTTGACTAATGCTGATCTCCGTAAGAATTCCTATCTGGATTTTAAGTGGGAGTAGGAAGAAAATAGAAGCAGTGCTGCTGTTGAGCAGGCTGTGTACTTTCTGCTGTAGTGGTGTATCGTGCTGAGACATCCAGAAGAATTCAGATTCTCTGTGACAAACCATAGATCACATTTCTCAAACAATGAGCTACAGCACCTAGAACTAAAGGACAAGACGTAAGATAGAGAAAACTTCTGAGTTTTCAGTCAAATACGCAATTTCTCCGGAATTTAGTATTTTATCAACTTCTTGACACATAGCATCGCTGTGGTTTTAATAGGGTTTTTTGTCTCTTGCATAAAACCTGATGAGGCCATGCAATTTCTGGCTTCCCGTAAGAAATAATTAACTGCAGAATTAGGAAGCATTACATATTGCTTGCTTTGTTTTTGGAACACAGTTTAAACTGAACAGTTTATTGGGGATTACTGTAAGGTGGAGTACAGGAACAGACTCTATCAGGAAACAATTATTTGGGTTTGAAACTTGAAGAGGAAGAAAGCAACCGTAGTGATTAAGGCAAACAGAATGAATTCATACTGATATAAAATACTGAATGACCACTTGAGTTTAATTAGATGTGGTGTTTTGCAGGAGATGGCGGATTCAGAGACAGAACTGAATAACTGGTGGGTAGAAAACTGCAAGGACTCTGAAAAAGTATCTCTGCATCAACGTCAAAGTGCAATCTTTGAGCTATTAGAAGGTATTTGGGCATGTGGATGCTATGGGAGGAAAGGGAAACTCTTAAACTCTAATAGTCAAAACTTACATAAGTTGACTTCAGTTTGGAGATTCTTATTTTTTTGTTGATCAAGAGAAGCGATGCCATTGAGCACAGGCTTAGGTAATTATCATGGCACGTCAAAGATTTGAGAAATGTTGCGTGAACTTTTTTAAGGGAATTTTAATCCTCTGTGTAGTCCAAACTCTTAATAGATAAACTGAATCTTAATGCTTACCTTCATGACTTTAGATTTGAGATTGCTTGTGGATAGACAGTCTGATGTATACTCTCACTCTCTGCCCCCATACACAACAAATTAAGGCAGTAAGCTGTATGATACCTCCACAGATAAAATAGTAGGCTCCTACCCAAAGTGAAAGTATTATACTTTGCTTTGTATATTTTCATTTCTAGTGAGCAGTTATATATTTGGCTGAGTTGTAAAGTGTCACAAAGTTAATCACATCTCCTCACTTTCTAGCACCGAAGCAGGTAAGGAATGGGCTTTGGTAGATCTTGCGCTATACTCAAGCTGTCCAGTGTGAGGCAGTTAAGCAGAGATGAGGTAAAACTTTTTAAAAGACATCTTTTAATTTCCTTTCTCTGGAAGAGAAGTTTAAACCAGAGGTTGGTTGTTCTTTAAGAGATGTGGCAAGCGTAAAGGATGAATTGCGTCTGTAAGTTGTGGAAGTGACCTTGTTCCTATGCGAAGCATAAACGTAATTGCAGACTAAGTCTTAGGCTGCTGCTGTTGTCTCTTGTTACTGGACGTTTAACAAGCATTGGTGAGTTCTCAAAACATGTTAAATTGACTACTCTGGATTTATTCTCTGGCTTATGGTGGTGTCACCTCCCTGCAGGCAAAAATGCACAAAATAGCAGTGCAGAAAAAGGTCACAACTTAATTGATGGTTTCATGGCAGTGTTTAACTGTGTGTTTTAAAAGGGATAGGTTCGCCATCGGAAATGCCACCAGGGACAATACTGGGCCTCACTGTTGGAGATCCTCGAGTCAATTTGCCTAAAAAGAAGACAAAAGCCATGCCAGACTTTGAAAAATACCAAGGTAAAAGTGCCTTGCTTATATTATGCTTCTCCTGAAACTGCCAAAGGCAGATTCAGTTTCTCTCTACACTTCTGTTTTCATTTACTGTGCTGTTCTACTGATTGTCTCTTGCTGTTTTCCTCTAGCATTCAATTTCAGAATGTTTCCTTCCCCTTTCCACAGGTCCTGGCAGAACAGAAACCTCTTGAAAGTAGCATAGGTTTTAGAAGAGTAGTTGTGAGGGAGGGACGTGCACCAAAGCTGGTCTTGTGCTCAGTGGAAGCCTCTGTCTGACCATACAGATGATCCAGGTTCGAATCCTGGCAAGGCCAACCAGGTGCTAACAGCTACTTAGTAAGTTTCTGTGTTTGGTGTTTAGTCTTCCTGATGCTGTTTATTTCTCCCAGAAGATATTTGCTGTTTCTGCTTTATAGTCCTACAATGGTGAAAGTAACAGTTCCACTGGAGAAAAAACTCACAAAGAAACAAAAAAGCCCATCAACTTTTGCAATTTTAGTATTTGAGATGGCCAAGACACTGGTTATGTTAAAAAAAAAAAAAAAATCAAAGATGCACATGTGACTTCTAAAACTTTAATTTCAGTGACAACTTACACAACACTTCAGTGCAAAATTCAAATTCACTTGGATTTGAATGTCCTTGGAAAACATGCAAGAGCATATGCAGTATACATTTGTGTGCAGTGCCGTGTAAGCGTTTCCCGTTAGGCTGGCTGGACACAGGCTGCCTCACCTAATACGAGAAACATAACAGCTAGCAAACACTAGCAAACAAATAGGACAAGTTGAAGGTGCCAGAGACTTGAAAATACTTTGTTTCCTTGCTGGTGTGTTTGCAAGACCCTAGAATAATCTAGCCTTACCTTTTCACTTACATCAGGTTGAACACCTATTTTAGTTACTGTCTCTTAGCTCTCTGTACAGCTGTTATTTGGATTTTCTTATATCCTCCTACCCTCTCTATCTACAACATCTTTTCTCCTGTTAAATAGTTCTGCTCAGCTAACTTTCTCATAATTAGTGTTCCTGTTGGAAGTGCTGCAGCATACATATCCTCTGCTGAGAAATCAGGTGAGCTGTATGGCACTTGTTTACAGATACTGGTTTGAGCTGGTAAAGGAGTTAGCAACTACAAGAAGTAACTCAGCCCCTTTCATTCTGCTTGTCATGTCTCTAAAGAAGAGAAGGCAAGATCAGCAGAAGGCACCTAGGCATTGGAAATAGCTCATAGTAGTTTCTCTCCCAGTGCCAGACCTGGTTGTCCCTCAGGAAGGACGGTAATGAATGAATGATGTAAGACAGGGAGTCAAGTGGAAGAACGTATTTAATGCCTTGTTTTGCTTTGTGTGGCTAGAAATGGCCATCTTCAAGATCTTTTAACTTGGGGTTATCCTTCACTTGAAAAAAATCTTCTAAACCACAAACATTCAGAAATCAGGTGTTGCTTTTTTGTGTTTTTTTGTTTCGCCATGAACTTGAAACTGCATCTGCCCTCTGAGTTTTACTTGGGTCTTTGGTCAGCTAGCAAGGAAAGGTAAACTGCATGACACCTTTCAATTTATGTTCTGCTAAAGGCCTTGATGTTACACAAGCACGTCACTACTGAAGAAGTTGAGTAGCAGAAGGATGAAAGAAGACATCACACAGCTGTCTTCTAGGAGAAAATCAAAATGAGATAGTGGTAAGGGGGTAGAAAAGGAGGGGCCAGCTCTCCTTCAAGAAACGGTTAAGGAGAGAATACAGGGACTAATAGTTCAGCAAGGAGAGTGGCTGTTGTTTTCCACTCTTCCCACCTGAGTGTCTTCCTAGTGCTGTGTAGGAAGAGTTACGGCATCATTCACAGTCTCCTGCACACCTATTACATGTCCAGTGGGTGAATCCTGTGGCATGGTAGTTCATCTCTCCTGCTTGAGAAACTCAGGACTGAGGTCTAACTGCCCACTCTCCTGTCTCCTTCATTGAGTATTCCTAGGTGTTAGTTGGAGAGTGGCTATTGTTACTTTCCAAAGGCTGTTGTTCCTAACCTCATTTTGTGGTTGGCTGTGTGACAGCTGCTACCTGTGCCAGATCTCTGCCTTAATGGGCCTCCTTCCTCAAGTAGTTAAACATTTTTTTAAGTACTTCTAGAAAATTAATTCATGTCAGATTATTAAATTCAGATACTTCTATAATTTTCTAGTCAGGGGAAAGCATTCAAGTGCATTTCATTCTTGGTGATTTTGAAGGATAAAAGTGAAATTGCGTATGTATGAATAAAAGGAATCCTGGATGTAATCAGTTCTTGTGCAGAATGCAGTTAATGTCTGATCTGTTCCCTCGCTGCAAGCATTATACTTTCTTGCTTACTATTTACTGTTTCAGGACCCATTATAAGGTCATCTTGAACTCTATCAGCTTGGTGTTTAATCTCCTTGGTGTACAGAGGCAGTGAAATACGCAACATGACCTCACACTCCAAGGAGATTTGTTCCTTTTTCCTATAAGCCTCCTTGATTGCCTGGCATGTTTACAGGAGTTAAAAAATCGGTTAAATATATGAAGGAGAACCTGTTGGAGGCCACTCAGTGCAAAAGGAAGAAGTCTGTAAGTCACGAGTGGCTAGGAACCGGCAGAGTGAGGAGATGCAACACTACATACTGATTCTAGTGTTGTACTACTCTTCCCCAGGGCCCTGTTACTGGCCATGCTTGGAGTCGGAATGCTGAAATACCCAGCAAGAATTTCTTCAAAAGCAGCATATTCCCAAAGATTAATCTAGTTTGAGTTAGCACTTTTGCCAGCATTTTCCAAACGGTTCTGTCCCCTCATTCCACTGGCTCTTTTGCTAAGAGTGACCCCGGAGTGGAGACCAAGAACCTCTTCAGTTTTTTGAAAGGCAGTTTGCTTAACCAAAAAAGGAAGGATTTGGTCATGGCACATATGCATCACTACAGCAGTATTATTACCAAAAGTTCCACAGTGACACCCACCCCCCAGAAAGACTTCTCTAAGCTCTGCAGTTCCATTGGGGCGGCATTACTTTATTCTTTCTGCAAGAAGAGATCTTATGAGCCTTAGAACTACATAAACTTTCTGAGCCTTGATTTTCTTGTAACCTTACTCAGATGTGGTAATATAGTGAGCTGATCTTTAATTAAAAAATGTTAGTAGTCATTCATTCACCTTAATGACATGTCACGTTGGTTGAGCAATAAATTGCTGTATTCCACACTTTTCCCCCGCCCCCCCCTTTTTGCTTCCTGGCTGTTCAGTACTACTAGGATCAGTAAGACTGAAGTGGCACTGCATATGTGAGCAGATTCTGCATGTGCTTGTGTCTCTTTTGTTCTTTTATGTTGTATAAAAGCTAACTGATTTTTATAGGCAGTCTGTACTAACTTAAAGATGCACTGTTGGTTAAATGAATGAACAGTTTAGGTAAGTTACAGCCATCACAGAACCCTAGAAGGGTTTGGGTTGGAAGGGACCTTAAAGACCATCTAGTTCCAACCCCCCTGCCATGGGCAGGGACACCTTCCACTAGACCAGGTTGCTCAAAGCCTCATCCAGCCTGGCCTTGAACACTTCCAGGGATGGGGCATCCACAGCTTCTCTGGGCAACCTGTTCCTGTGCCTCACCACCCTCTCCATGAAGAACTTCTTCCTGATACCATCTTTGCCTGTGGTTTGTCACATGGGCAATCTGTGAAATGATACATATCTGCCCATATCCCTTTTTTCTTTTTTTTCAAAATGCCATCCTAAAATACGCCTGTGTAGTTTTTCCCCTGTGAGTGATGTGCTAACAAATCAAAGGCAGGTTCAGTCTTTCCCAGTTACTCTCTGGAATGCATATGCATGTGTGCAAGCTATGTGTTACACACACGTGCTGATGGGAATTAATCAAAGAACTTTCCTCATTTCTTCACACTGGGAGGATAGAAAGTTTGTGAGTAAATCACTTTTCACTGCCTTCTCAGCAGGTTTATGTCTTCTGGAAGTCAAGACTCCTAGTAAGCAGTCAGTGCTTACGTGACTGCAAATCAGTGCTGCTGGTTTTGGCGTTTTAAAGCACGCTTCCGACATTCTGATATGCTTTTACTGTCTTCTGTGGGAGAACACAAATTCCACTGCCTTAAGAACAGCTCAACACGGAGTATGGTGGAGCTTTTAGACAATCAGTGAATGAGATGGGTAGAAGGAGAAGCATCTCGAAGATAAGTGAGCTAAAGTTCCTTCTGCAGACACAGCCTGAGCCCTTGCCTGTGCGCCTCTTGCAGGGGTTTAGGTATCTGACGTCAGTTGTCCTGGTATGCACCCCAATGTACATATGGCTCTGAAACTGCTCCCCAGCGGTGCTTCTATTTTTGCTGCTTCTGCTATTTCCTCGCAGAGGGAAGGAAAAATTTCAAGTAGAACTCCTCTTAGGCCTGTCTTCTAAGACCGTTAATACCAGCTACACAAACCAATAGAACCAAACCTTTCTCTGTCTGCCTGTATTGTCTAAGCACCAGCCACCGACACCACCAGAAGTAGATAGTGTGCTGATTGTCGCTGAGCTTTGTGTGCTTAGTAGTACAACTCCTTATTTCCTACGGTAGCTCTAACATCTTACTTCCATTATCAACAGCAACTTACTCACTGGTAGGGTTATTTTCCCAGCAATCTTAAAATGTGGACTGAAGAAGAGAGAGGTAAGAAATAAAGAGAACTGGTGTGAGGGTTTGCAGTTACGATTTGAATTATAGTATGCTTAGAGTGATTAAGTTCTCCCAAGTACAGTGGGGGTCAAGGAGAAAGAAGGTACCAGCTTAGAGAAGGATGTTTGGGGGTAGTGGAGGGGGATATTGGATGGACTGTGGTGATGGAAAGAGACTGACTTAAAAGGACTTTCTGAAGTGGGGAAAATAATACTCATGCCATTATAGAATATAGGAATTGTAAAGAATTCCAAGAATATGACATAGACTGCCTAAACTGTGGTAATAGAAAGAAGTTACAGTGAATAATTTACAGTTGAAGGAACTAGAATGTGTTTAAATAATTGAACATAGAGGGATTCTGGTGTTCATGAATGCTTTCTGTACAGAAGAGGAGAAAAACGCTTTCCTTACCTCATGGTTGCTTGTAAGTATGTGCCCTTCTCCCTTGGTTATCTGTAAGAGTCAGGAGGGAATTCCTCACCATCACTACACATCTTTTTCTTCTTTGTTTGAGGCACTGACATTTGCTGTGTCTCCAGGCAGAGTGTGCTTTTGCTTCTAGGAGTACTGAGCACTTTTAGGTTCCTGCTCAGGTTCCTGTCCTTAATTTTTGATCTGAGAAAGAATTCTTCTGGCTTAATTGTCAGAGAATTGGCAGGGATTTCTGTTTTTGTTCTATTGTTCTTAATGCTACCCTAATCCAATAATTGCTTTAGTATTTCTTCCTCTCACGTAAATGTAACTCATCACCAAGAATGCATAGCAAGCCTCAGCTTAATAACACCATCAAGCTGGCAGGAGTGCTGCCATATTTAATATTTTTTTCAAACTCTTAATAATGGGGACATCTTAAAGATTATAGATTTTAAATAAATAATTACTGCAATTATGTTTGGCGGTACCTATGTTATAGTTAGTACCACTGACTAATCCTTATCTTTTGTGCTCAAAGTCTTTGTCAACATTAACTTGGAAAAATTAGCCGAATCTTCTTTTGGAAGACTTAAGTGATTTAAAAAACAAAACAACCCCCAACACATTATGTTCCTTTAAAATGTGAGACCTTGTAGATGGCGTAATGAGCAGCAGTCCCTGTAAGCTTTAATCACAGAACTATTAATAGGTTTATTGTATTTATTGGTAAGAATTGATTTACTTAAAATATGGATCAGCATGCATTACATACTGTACACTGAAGGCTTTTGATCCGTAGGTCACTAAAGCTAGGTACACATTTTGTCTGCTTTGGTTAGGTTGCGGGGAGCTGAAGAAGAGAGATGTTTTTTAATGCCTCAACGATCAGTTTTAAAGCTACAAGTGTTATTTATCTTCAGTAACACACACAACTCTTGGTCTGTGCAGATGTAAGCAGAGAATACTCCCTTCCTTGAAGTGCAGAGCCTGAAAAGATCCGGAGTGGGAAGCTGGTGCTAAATAAGTAGTTGCATGCTAGTCATATCCATAAAAATATTTCCTGTGTGAACATTTCTTAAAGGTCATCCTCGCTTCTCTTACAATTTATTTAGGCGGGCTTATTTCTGCCTTGGTAATGTTGCTTTTTCTGATTTTCACCAAACTTGTTGAGCTTCACACTTGTCCTGGAAGGCCAGATGCCAGAATATTAAAGGTAGCATGCTAAAGAGGTAACTTAATTGCCAGAGGTGGTGTCATTTGTAATAGGAAATGCCTATTTGTAAGAGAATGCCAGGGTAATGCTTCTAAAACTAAGAGTTTATTTCACATTGTGTATTGAAAAAACATGTGGTAGTTAAGATATTGCAGAAGCAGTGATGATTGTTAAGCTTCTGATTGTCTGTTTACTTAGTTGTCTGCTCATTGTACTTACCATAGTGGAGTGGTTTTGGTAATTTGATTCTTAAGCCACAAAAATTGTTTGAATTTTGTTTGAAGGTTCTCTTCTTTTGTAGATAATGATAAAGTTAGGCAGCTGTACCTGGAGGGTGTACCTGTAGACTGTGCTCACAGCTTTATCTGGGACCAGGACATCTGTAAGAACGTCACTGAAAATAAAATCTCAGAGCAGGTAACTAAGAGGTGGATTGCCATGCAGAAAATGGCTAACGGTCCATCGAGGCCATAGAGCAAGACTCTTCTACAAATCCAAGAGCAGTAGTTTCCTAATGTCATAGTATCCAGCTGCGGAGTTGAAGTGTTTTATTTTGTAGCCTTTGTGTAATGTTCTTGCACAACTATTGTTGATGATTCAGTTAAAAGAAAGCTTTATTTATCTACAGGACTAAATAGTTGTAGGTTTATTTGTCAGAAAGGTTTGGAATTGGATTTTCCTACATCCCCTTGCCCACCATGCAGCAGATGAAAGGGATGAAGTAGCACAGAGAGGCTCTGGCCATTCACTCCTCGATCATAGCCAGGATGATTCTCCTGACAGAAGACTCGTGAAAGTTGGAAAGAAATAAATCCCTCTGTTTCTGAACTGCAGCACTGTGTTGTGGTTGTTCTGGGCAACACCTATGGTTTGTAGACAGCTTAAAATGTGCTGTTACAGGTTTGAAATCTCCTGTCTTGACATTTCCACTGGCAATGGAGGAGCAACTGATTAAATGCATGGGCAAAATGGTGATGTAGTCATGGGAGGTGATATGCTTTTGGCACTCTTGTAATCAAAAAGAGAAAACATTTGTATGGGAAAAATAGTTACTAACTTACTGGGAAATGTCTCCTCCTTCTCAGGATATAAACCATATGAGATCTCAATTACTGGTGCCTGGATCACACCTTGATTTGGGTCCTTCTGAATCTAAGATTCCCATACTGTTGGTGCAGCAGCCAGGGAAAGTGGCTGGAGAAGATCGACCAGGATGGGGGAGTGGCTGGGATATCTGTCTCCCAAAGGGCTGGGGCATGGCGTTCTGGATTCCTTTTGTAAGTGACTTTCATTGCAAATTGCCAGTGAAGATGACAAATATATATAATTTTGTTCAAAATAATCCATTTTAGAAAGTTCTTCACATCGTGTAATCGATTACAGGATCAAAATCCCGCTTTAGAAGAGGGTGTAGGAACTGGCTGATGACAGAGGCTGGGTCTTAAAAATCTTAAACAATAGCTTTCCATATCTTCTGTTGGGTATAACTGTGCCCACATGGCAGTCTAAAGCAGAAAATCAGAGTGGGGAGTAAGGAGAGAAAGCTGATGCTATAGCTTGTTGGTGCTGTGTTGCTAAGGACCTATATCTCCAAAGAGAAATCATTTGGTGCCTGCTGCTAATCCATTCCCAGCTTGGCTGTCCACCACTCTCTGAACAAATTGGTTGCCTCCCTCTGATTTGGGAGGGAGCTTGAGTACTCTGGCGCTGTTTGGAGCGTCCTGCTTTGAATGTTTAGGTGGCAGATTCAATGTCTTTCTGCAGTTGCTGTTGAATGTGCAGGGGAATTAATTGCAGGGATACCTAGTGTACAGTTAAAACAAACTGGGCAGCGACTTTGGCCAAGTAGTATGACGTTCCTGGCAACGTACAAGATCAAAACCTGTGAAATTCTCTTCAGTTTTGCTTATCATTTTTTCAGAATTAAATTTAGGAGCATGAGAAACACTTCCTTTGAAATGAGCATCTAGAACTGTGAAAACTTTTTTTTTTTTTTTGAAAGCTAAAGTGATTGACTTTCTCTGTTCTATGGCAGTAGCATACAGTGTATTATTGTATTGTATTTATTTTTTTCCAGTTAGGAACCCGGAATCAGTACAAACATTGCTTTTTTGCATTTTGGTTTTTATAACAGGTGTATCGAGGTGTACGAGTCGGTGGCTTGCAAGAGGCTTTAAAGCATTCTGAATATCAAAGAACACCTCACACTCCAAATGATTTCCCAGACTGCCAGGCGGGAATGCAGTTTGCCAAAGAACTGGAAACCAGTCTCCTTGAAAAATTCAAAAGGTAAGATTAACTTCAAGATTGATTGCAAGAATGAAAAAAATGAATACTGCTTAGAATATTCCCTTAATTATCTGCTGTGTTCATTCAGACTTGGACTTCATTAAGATGTTTCAGTAGTGTTTTAAATCCTAATGTTATAAAAAATAAAAAGAATCCTAGATGTGTATAACAGAAAAGCTCTGCTAAACAGTGCATATAAGTTAACTGAAAGCTTCTGCTGCCACAGATGTGCTCAGTTATAAGGCTGTAATAAAGCTGCATAACAATAAAACAAACAAAACCCTTTCAAGCTCCCTTAGCAGCAAATAAGGGACGAGAAGGCAAAGGCAGAATATCCAAGATTTTACTGAGTGTTAAAGAATGAAGTGAGTGAAAGGCGTATCTCAGTGTCCACTTTATAAATACCAGGTTTTCTGGTTTCCTTTCATTTTCAGGAAACACAGAACTCTTCACCATGGAATAGTCCTCTGCACCAACTGGTGTTGGCTCCCCTTCCAGCTAGGAGGGGAACGTAGGAGAAGTTTAGAGGAAAAGGTGGTGGTGTCAGTCGCAGGAGACAGAAATATCCAGCATTGCTGAAAGGATATGATGGTCTGAAATACAGCAGTGTTGTCTAGAAGCGTGGCTTTAAAATTCTTGTTCAGTGAGATTACAAAGGGAATGCACAGTTCACTTTCTGTTTTTAATATGTGATTTTTGAAAACAGGAAGCATGATTAGAGCAGCAGGACAAAGTAGACAGCCTTTTGAAGTGCTAGGAACTGAATAAAGGCCCAGAAAACAAACATTCTTACCTGCTTGAATTATCTTTTTAGACGTCCACCTGCAAAAAGGGCAAATTATGTGAAGCTGGGCACCCTCTCCCCTTTTGTCTGTCCTTGGGGGCAGCTGACGAAGAACTGGGAAGGGAGAATGAAAGCTTCAGGAGAATTTGCACATCCTTCTTCCCCACACTCTGAGCACTGCGCAACCCAAGGGCATAGCTTTTGTGACCCCAAAGCAGAAGTGGTCCAAGAAGCTTCCCCGAGGCCTGGTGAGGTAGAGGGGACAATGGAAATAAGCTCCCAAGGTGTCCTAAAGACAGATGATGTTACAGGCGCCCAAGATGTTGGTGAGAGAGATGAAACCATGACAACAAGTGGCTTTGTTGTTCTCAGGTATGTCAAAATGATACATGCATATGAGGTGTTATTTCTTTGTTGGGAATGGTTAAGCTGGGGAAAGGAGAGCTGGGCCCCGATGATTAAGATGAGAGAACTATTTGATCCAAATGCAGTGAAATTAAATAGTCTTGTTGTGGATCAGAATTTGCTTTTCAGTGGAAGTCCTTTTCCTGCTTTTCCCCAGCAAACTTGGTGACTAGATAAAGTAAATTTCTTAAGATTATGTGAAATTTAACACTCTCGAGGTTTAGTGTGTTCTTGTTGTTGGCATATTCTGCCTGCTTCCAGGTGGATGGAGCTTTGAGAGGCCCACGTTTGTGATGTTAAAACTGTTGCTGTGTAAATCGGTTTGCATTCTCTTTTCTAATCCATCATCACAGGTAGTTCCTGTGCTACTTAGTAAGGCCTGTAAAGAAAACAGAGAATCCCCTGCATTCCAATGCAACGCACGAGGGCAGCAACAGTGTTTGGAAAGTGCCTGAATGCATGTCTTTCATTTTTGTCTGGTTACCAGGGGAAGAAAACATTGGCAGTTCTGGACTGCATTAATGTCACTGCAGGTTTTAGAGCATTTGTGATTTAACAAGGTTTGGGGGTTTTAACCAGTAATGCCTCCTGAAGAAATAGCCTCTCACGTCAGTTCCACTCACCGTGTTTTTGTGCTCGGAGTGACACACATACCAGCTTGGGAGGTTACAGAAAGCCCCAGGGCTTTTTAAAATTGTGCTCTAGCAGATAGGCGGCGGGGGACTGGGTTTCTCACGTGCTACTTGTTTGTCAGGGACAGCTACTAACTATCCTTGATGTTTATTTTTAAAACTTTTTTTACCAGGAGCGAGAAACTACTAATGCAGTTATCAGCATGGTGCTATCCCACTGCTGGAAAAGATCGGCGAGTCCGCCTTATGTCTCGACTGGGACAGAAGGAAATGACTGAAGATGTCTTTTTGCCAATCTTGATGAGCTATCCAAGGGCTCTTGTATGGGTCAACTTGACTCTCCTGAGAAAGGGGAACCCTGAATTACATGCCATGATCTGTATCCCAACAGAAGATGACTTGCTGCAGCTGCGCAAAGACAAACTCTTCTGTGGTCCTCAGGAACCCAAGCATCATGATGTATTCAAGCACAAGGTACAGAAACTAAAAGAGGAGAAGAAGAAGAAGAAAAAGGATAACACACAGGCTCTAGAAAATGCCCCTCTGAGCGGCCCAGCTGAAGAATCAACTGAGGAACACGAAGACCTCACTCTTGGTCTTTGGTCAGATGCTCTCCCAGATGTTACTTCCCACTGCTCCAGAACTCTCTTGGGATATGTCACTCGAGGGGATTTTTCGTTGGCTGCAGGCTGTGGAGAGGCACTGGGTTTTGTTAGCTTGACAGGGTTACTTTATATGTTACACAACCAGCCAGCGGATAAAAAAGGGCTCGTTTTGTTAAGAACTCCAGCATCTTTACAGTACAGATTTGCCAGACTTAATATTGAGGTTTAAGTATCACAGCAGAGCACTAGAATGCCAAAAATACCAAAGAATGTCTGTTTTGTCTTGTGCAGCCTTTCTGATATGTCTCAAATTTGCAGTGATTCTGAGCCCCCAAAACATCTTGAGGATTATGAAATAATTAATAAGCTTTGTAGCATGATTCATGAAAATAACTAATGCATAAACTAGAGCTTTTGGTGTCTGCATTGCTAAGGATTTCTAACAGTAATGCATCCATTGTCATGATCTGTTTTATCTCTAAAGAAGCATATTGTTCATTTTTCACCTCAGAGCAGTGGATGCTATAACAATAGACAGAAAAACATTATTTTCCTTTTAGAAATCTTTTGCTCAGGTGGATTGTAACTTCCCAGTGCATTTTTCACTTGTAAGTGCACGCAGTCTGGACCAGTGTATATAGCAAGTGGCTCTTCCCGTTTCTTCGTGTCCGAATGCACATGGCCGCAGTGGAACAGGGCTAAGTAGCCAAATCTATTAAGAAAGCAGGAGGGTACCTACTTTGGAAAAGCTCTGAAATGCAAATAAGATATAGCGTGGCTATGTGATTGTGAATTATAGCAACTGGAGCTGATAAATTGGAAGGCTTATCAGTCTCTAGTCTGAGAGGGGGAAAACACTTTTTGAAAGGTAATAAGCCTTTGAGATGCGACTTGCTGGTGGTGGGTCAGCATTTTGTGTTAATAACGGGACATTTTGGTTCCTTAAAACACGAGGTTATTTTTGTATGGAATGTGCTCGAATCGGAAGTGTCTTCATTGACTCTAGGGTTTGGGAACAATGTTCAAACTCGTGAGGCTTGTATGGTGTGCAGGAGGGGTGAGGGAAGAAAGGTGTTTGATTTGACTGGGGCAGGTGGGTTGGGGTTGGTTTTGGTGGGGTTTTTTAATGATAGCCATAAGCTTCTAGCCATTCATGAGTAAAGCAGCTTGAAAACGAGTTTACAGTACTGCACTGTAGTTCCGTAGCATCATGGCACAAATATATACCAGCCGGTAAAATTACCCTGAAATGACTACGTACAAATAAAAATCTAACCTGTTCTTGATTCAGAGGTCCACTGGCTAAGCATGATCCTTTAAGAAATGAAAAATGGATCAGTTAATGACTTTGTCTTTCTAAGCATCAGCCTGCAAATTAATTCCCTCATTCACAGTTTGGTTTGAGAGTGCCTTAGGCGACTAGATCAATGTTGTTTGGAGTAGTTTGTTGGAGGAAGGGTGTGGAGCACCTTACCTTCACAAGAACTAAAATGTAAGGCCGTTGTTGGATTAAAGGTGACACGCGCATGGGGGAGGAGGGAGAACATCTCCGATGGCAGGGGAAGTGTGGGATGGGGAGCTGGAATTTTTTATCTTAAGTCTCCAGAAGACGGATTTAAGAATCCCCTGCCAGATGGAGCTACAGCGACACAGGGGATGGAAAGACGCAGCCTCCAGCACAGCTTGGACCAGGACTCGATGAGAAATCATGCCTGATGGCTCCAGCATCGCTCCCCTCCGATGCACCTGATAAAGCGATCGTCCCAGCGAGACGCGGAGCAGCCTCCGTGCAAAAGCCGGCAGATGGCCCCAGAGGAGGAAGCTTGGTGCCGCGCAGCGCTGGGGTTCACACGCTCCTCGCCCTGTGACCCAGTGCTGGTGGGTATGTGCGAACAAGGAGCCCCTTAAGCACTGCAGCCTGGCTGCTCTGATCGAGTTCTCTCGTCGTATATGAGCCTGAATTTAATGAACCCTTTGAATTGTGAGCCTGGTTGAAATCTTTCTGGGATCAGAGTTTCTAGAGCTGTGCTTCGTGGGAAGAAAGGAGCGGAGGTGATGTTTATATGGCTTTTTACCCCCTTTGCCTCCCTCATCTTCTCAGTAGATACATATTTTCCTGCCTCGCTAGACCTGGCTTGTGTGTGAGAAAGAAAGAGGAGAAGCCCCCCGCCCAAGCCATCATTTTTTCTTTTCCGATTGTAGATCTTTTGTTCACTGAATCTTTCCCAGGTTTTTATTTTTTATAAAAACATCTGGAGTCTTTTTTTTCTTTTCCTCCTATTGGTAATATCTGCCAGGTTTTCATTTTGACGCTTCCTGTTACTTTTCTTTGATTTCCATTCTCTATTTCTGATTTACGATCCTGCTCTCTGCTGAGCCAGTGGACAGAAACTGGAACCCAAGTGCATCCTGTTCTGTAGATCTTGTAATAGTGTTACACAGTTGTTTTCCTTTAAGGCAGTGATTTATGCCTTTAAGACTTCACTCTCCTTGTAAAATACACTGCAAGCCTGATAACTTAAAAATGCTCAAAACTCTCAGCCAATGTTTGTCAGAAAAATACTGTGACTTTATGTAGCTGCAAGGAAATTTTTATCTGTGGTTGGGATTTCTAGATTCTGAGCATCTCAAGGGTGACTTAGTCATAAAAACCATGTCAACACCGGATAATCAAACTGTGGGTAATTAAACCTGTGTTATCTGTGCATCAGCTGGACAGTATGTCTGTGTTCATCATGTTGAATCAGGTGTAGTTTGCAGCAAACAGCTGTTCTTGGGCCGTATTTTACAGCGGTTACCACCCGTTGGTTAACTCCCACAGAGCATCTGGATCAGCTCCCATGGACTCTGATACTTGAGCATTTTTGGGAACCCAGGAAGCTCTCCCTCAGCGAAAGATGCTCTCACAAGCTCTCTGGCTCCCATGCTGCTCTCCAGGTGACTTGCTCAAATTGGATGCCAGCATGAATCCTTAGCTCTCGTTCCCTGCTCGGCAAGAGCTTTTGGAAGCTGATGTGAAGCACAGAAGTCAGTTCTGGCATTATCTGTAGCGCTGTGAAGAGCTCAGACGCTACCGCGCGGCTCCTCAAGCTCTACCTACGGCTCCATCAGAGCAGCTGAATAAATGCTGCCCTCGACCCATGAAGGGTCTTTCCCCAGCCTGAACCGCAACTTACATGGTAGCTGCCTGCGATGTTCAGAGGGGCGCAGCGACCGATAGACCTACGCAGCCGAGGGTATCATGGCTTTGAAATGCACGTTCTTTAGCCACTGCAGATACAGATAATGCGGTTGCAGAAGAAGGTGGTGGTGAACCAGACCATGAGGAAACACTTCTTCCCTGTGAGGGTGACAGAGCACGGGAACAGGCTGCCCAGAGAGGTGGTGGAGTCTCCTTCCCTGGAGACTTTCCAAAGCCGCCTGGACTTGTTCCTGTGAGATCTACTCTGGGTGATCCTGCTCTGGCAGGGGGGGTGGACTAGATGATCTCTAGAGGTCCCTTCCACCCCCTTCCACTCTGTGACACTGTGGAATGAGGTGAGGTGGGACCCTGGCCAGGAGGGTGTGTGTGTGTTAAGGGCGTTCAGGGCAGTCAGTTTGTTCAGCAGTGTGTGAGCAATGGAGGAAACTACCTGGCAGGCAGCTGGGGTTGTTGAAACAAATAATTGGCAGGGTGACAGGCCTCTGGATGGAGGTGGAAGCCTTGGGGGGTTGTGGCACACACAGAGCATAGTCAAGCGCTGTGTGACAGTTTTCTTTTGGTGCTCTAAATCTGGAAGAGCCTGATATGTCCAACCTGATGTGTTCACGTGTCTGTGTGAGGCAGGTAGTAGGAACAGGTCTTGGAGGAGTAAGCTACCAAAGACAGGTTCCTGAAGCATTGGGACTGAGGGATGCAGAAAAGCAATAGCGTTGTTTTATTTTCTAAAAACACAACATGCAAAAAACCAACCCAGTTCCAAAATTCCCAGAGTCCCATGTTTCTGCATGTTCTCCTCAGAGGTCAACAATAAACAGCACCCGTAGTTTACCTCTTGCAAATTCAACTCAGGTGTACTAAAATTCTTTGTGAAGACTGGGCTCATCAAACCCTGCAAGAGCAAATGAATGTGTACTGAACAACAAGAACTCCGGGAAAGGACAGAGGAGGTGGGCTGCAACCAGTTTGTGGCAGCTTTGAAAGTCAGAGCCTGCCTGACCCTGGACAAAACAAAACTAAGGACTGCAAGGTAGTTTGCAAAGTAGGTGGGGTGACAACAGAGCAGGCGAAACACAGCTTTCATTTATTGTGTTGGGTCTCTTCTGAAGAGGGAGAGTTTCTTCTGTAGTAGGAAAGATGCCTACACAGAATGATTTCTATTTTTAAAAAATTTTTAGACACTCCAAGATGTGCATAACGTACCAGCATCAGCTTGTTTGACCCGTTTTGGCTGTCTTTTCGTCATGGGCTTACAGCAGTGTTGCTAATCTGAGAGCCTTGCACAGCTAAGCCCTGATTCTTAAGAAATAGAAATCAAAAAGACATCCATGGCACAGCAAGATTAAAGCAGGGAATGAAAAAGCAGTCTGAAGGACAAGACCGGCTCAAATTTCATGTTCCAAATATGTGAGGATTTGCTGTAATTTCTAGAAAGGATGGTGCAATTCAATATTTCATTTCATCTCAGGAAGATCAAATAAATAGCCAGGATGAGAGAGGCTGTGTGTTTCTGCTCAGTCCTTCTCTCAGCATCCTGTTTCTTAGCCCAGAAAATGTTTTCTTTTTAAAAGAATACAATGGTTCTGAGGGATAGGAGAGCTCATGCATCCCTAAACCCATGTGCCTGCAAGGGCTCACTCTTGCCCATCGCTTCTTGTAATTTCTGGTTCTGTCCTTTTTTTCATGTTGAGTAACATCAAAAGGGCTACTTTCCATCATCCTTTTGTTAAAACAAAAAAATAAAGCAAACCTGGGCAGGCAAAACTGAAGTTATCTAGAGCTTTATCACTCAAAAATGAGTTTAACTGCCACTGCAGAAATAAGCCTTCACCTCCTTCCCACTTGAAAAAACCCCAGTTGTTTTAGCTGTGGCTCTAGTGATGAATCCTATGTTTCTACAGTTGTAATTAAATATAAACGCACGTGTACCTCTCAGAAATCTTACCAGAGTTGTACCAGGTGTCACCCAAGGCAGCTTCACCCATGTGCGAAGCCAGTTGCTCAGAATGGGTTGGAGTGGGTGAGAAAGAGGGACA